GTGATGTAATTTGATAATATAGAAGAATGTCCTACATCTCATACACCAGCTGACACTTTTGCAATGACATTTGATATAATCCATGCATAGGCAACAATACTTTTACATGATATATAAACAGAGACAATAATTAAATCCAATGACACAAGACTTAATGCTTTTCTGGTAACATTATAGAGACATATTAATAACAGTGAGAAAGAGAGGGGGAGAGAGAGAGAGAGGACCTGTTAAACACATTCAAGTATTTACCAACATAAAAGATAACTATTTTATCACCCCCCCATCTCATACCAAGGCTGAGAAGAACATCATCTTTAGACAATGTTACACAGCAGAGTCATGTATTAAAGAATACAAATATGATGGCAGAGTTTCACAGGAACAAGTTAGAGAAATAGATTCTCTAAAGAAAATCGGAAATTTGTAAAATAAGAAGAAAAGTTTTTTAAGTTGGTAATTTCTGCAATTTCTGAGAATTACTCAATTCCTTTCTTAAAGTGAAGACCCAAATAAATGAAGTTTTTTAGTGTAAAACCTTAAATGGTTTGACATTGAAGCTTAGACTGTTGTCTCATTAATTAAGTGTGTAAAAAGCTGTTATCTTTTCTGCTTTGATATTAACCATTACTGGTAAGAAGCTAAAACAAATGCATGCATTCAAAGTGTGTTGGGGTGAATACAGGTTTTTTGATGACGAATTCACAAGAAAAGTCAAGTGAACAATGCTGCATTTGATATAAATTATTCACACAGACTGGCACATCAATATTAAAAGGTTCATTAAAATACAATATCAGGTTTTTGTTCTACATTTCTATCAGTTTTAAGTATATACAAAAGTATTTACCACAAAGTAAACAGATGTCAAGGAAAGATGACCATGTTTCTGTATAAATACAATTTTTTTTTTTTTTAATTTATTGCAGAATATAGAATTTTCAAATTTTGCAAAGAGGCAATGATGTAATGGACTTTGATGCATCAAGTCTTTCTTATATTCCTGCAATGTTGTTGTTCCTTATGCTGACTGAGACTGAAATCATTACAAATAACAAAAATTTGCAACCTAATAATTCAAAGTTTATAATAAAACAACAATAAAGGATTTTGATGATACCAAAATGCTTAGCACTATGAAAAATAAGAAATCATTTTGAATTTTGGCAAAGTCTGGCATAAAATTGACAGTTTTTTAACATAAAAAAAAAAAAGTTTCTAAATGCACGGCAACTGAGATACTCAAAGCTATTAAAGTTCTTTTCTAGTAACCAACTCATGGCAATAATGTAGTATTTTACACTAACATTTCCTAAGAGGAAATTTATCCTTATAACTAAATATTCCTTATTTTATTCACATTAAGATATAGTAACATTTGTAATTTCCAATATAGACGCACCCACGTATATACAAACATTTTTTTACAGAAACACACATACACCATATATATTACATACTCACACAATTATATACATATACAAAGATATATTTTATAGCAAGAGACTTTGTGTAAAGGTGTGTGTGTGTGTGTGTGTGTGTGTGTGTAAGTGTGTTTATGTAAATGAACAGACACACCAGTGCATCTCTCCCCTCATAAAAATGGGCCATTGGTGGAGTAGGGTCATTCAAATTTCATGTATATTGTGCAAAATGTTATGTAAAATACTTTTTGCTTCTAAAAAAGTTGAAGCAGATTTGATTTTTTGTTTTCTTTCCAGGATTTAAAAAAAAAATAAAACGAAAAAATAAAAAATTTCCAAGACAGAAGATACGCATGTTTACATTTTACAATTTTGCTATTTTTTCTCAAAATAATTTTCCATTAAAAGGATTTATTACAAATTAGAGAATTCAAAGAAATTTTTCTGAAGAGTCAAAAGAGGAACACCAAACAACCAGACTCCACCCCCCCAAAACACCACTTCTCTAATATTTGTAAACTTTTTCTTCATCTGAGTGGTAAATGTTTATTTGCACATTTTTCAAGTTGATATGTATAACAAAGGATTATCTTTCGCCATGATAGCAAACCAAATAAACAAAGGGTGCCAGGGTGGGGGTTGGTTACAATACACTGATAATCCTGTTGTTATAAAAAAAAAAAAAGTGTAAGTGTGCGTGCGCAGGTCTTCAGATTAAAAGATAAAAAAAACTTTGCAAGACATAAAATGATCAATGGTTTTGATTCAGTATATCACAGTTGAGAGTATATATATATATATATATATATATATATATATATATATATATATATATATATATATATATGTATGTATTTTTGTTTTCTTTTGTTTTTAAAGAGAACAATACTTCTGATAGAACAGCAATTGTTATTCATCTATTGTGGCCATTATTTATTAAATCTCCTTGAAATTCTATAAGACTCAAGATCAAAGAGGGTATACATTTGACTTATTTGTTTATTAAGTTGAACTCTCATTTGTTATTTATTTTCTCTATCCATGTCCAAATCTTTGACAGTAATTTTTTTTGTTTATTAATGTGACTAGGTGAAGTTTATCATTGTTGGTGATTCTGTCCAAACCAGCTTCTTCCATAGTTAATTAATTTTACAAATATATACAATTGTATTTATTAAGGAAAAAGATTGTCTTTGGATTAGCTTTTACTGATTATCTCTTTGTAGCATACTTAGATTATGTTACTTGAAGAATTAAAAATCCATTTAGTATTCAAAGAGATATTTAATAAATACTGACATATGAACAAAAAAATATTAATGACAATGTATCATAAATTAAGTAGTTTTGTTCTCATTAAAAATATTTACAGATCTTTGTGTTGAAATGACTTAAGCCACACTATATTAAACACATTTCTGTGTATAATGTCAATAAATAGAAATTGTCAGCCTATTCAATGATAAGTTGATATAAGTGTAGATAGAATTGGACAAAGTGATATAAGTTGTTTTCATGTGATTTTTTTTTCTGTAGACATCCTACACTGGCAGCATCCAAATGTATTTGTTCCACCATTCAAAGAGAATAACAACTAAATTATAAACAGAGGGTATTTCAAGTTTTTGAGGGTTTTTTTTTTTGCTAGAAAAGCAAGAAAAAGCAATGCAAACAGAACATTTACAACAATGATAAAAAAATTAAGTTCCTAAAAAAGCTCAACCATTGAATATTGGTAAAAAAAAAATAAAAATATGAACTTTATGAAATTTCATATGAAAGAAGCAAAGTACATTAAGAACCATCACATAAATAAAATAAATTTTGATTAGGGAAAAACAAGATGATAGATGAAACATTAAAAGTAAAACCTATGAGTGAGTATATGTGTGTGTATATATATATATATATATATATATATATATATATATATATATACATAAACACACGATAGAAGTCTTATATAAAATATTCAGTATCAAGCAAAATCCTATTGAATAAATTTATTAGCTCAGAGTTTAATTTTTATTATGTAATTTGCTGAATATAATTTAGTGAAGATGGTTTCTTTATATCAAAATTAACAGCATTTATAAAATAAAGGCAAAATGCCTAATTCTAAAACTGTGAAGTTTGTCTTTAAATTTAAAATAAAAGTCTATGAATTTATTCAGAACAAATTGAAAGTTTTCAAGTTAATCATTTGTTTTGCATTTCCAAAACAATTTTAAATATGAAATAGGTGAAGAAACTCATTTAGTTTCACTTCATTTTTTAATACACTAAGTGTATTATATATATATATATATATATATATATATATATATATATATATATATATTATTAATTTCTTTCAACTACTGAAACATAGTAACTTAAAGACAGTTATTTTTTAAAATTTAAATACCAAAAAGAAAAAAAAAATTGGACAAAAATTGTCCAATCTCCATTGAAGGGTTAACATCACAGATGTTAAAGGGGGTGGGGATGGGGTGGTGGTGATTGAAGAATGAGAAACTAAGCAGAAGCAAATTGAAGTCATTGTTTTCAGGCCATTTATTCTTGGAAAAACAACCACTTTTTGCAGTTCTTTTTATCACATTTATCACCTTTTATTTACTCAGTTTAAAAAAAAAAAATAAATAAAATAAAGAGATTTTCTTGACAAACCTGGCTTCAGTTGGTCACCCCAATCATTCACCCCCCAACCCTTCCCACCCATTCTCTTTCTAGAAAAGAAAAAAAAAAAAAAAAAAAGAAAAGACTTTCATCTTACAAATTAGCAATGGTAGAGACCAAATTTTGTCAGCATCGGTGGTGGCAGGGCAGCATACATGTTGGAAAATGGGAGGGGAGGGGATGATGCAGTACCATTTTTACAGCTTAGTAAACACCAGCCAATGTAGAAGACAAAGAGAGCGCAATAAACTCTTCATAAATAATAGAGAATTTCGAGATGAGTGGGTGGATGAAGTACCAACCATGATGCTGAGCAAGGTGAAGAGGAGGGGTGGGAGTTAGAAAATACTGGTCTCAAACAGCATGTGGCTCCACCGTTACCAGCACAAGGAGACAAGGTAACTGCTCAACAACCCTCAAGAAAAAGAAAAGAAAAAAGACTGCACACCTTTTATCTGTTGTCTTTCAAGCTCTTATAAAAAGCTGATAGGAATTTCCTAAAATAATAAAAATTTTTTTTTTTTTCTACAATTTCAGATACAATCCGACTGCACAAGAGAAAGAGCAGAAAGTTCCCTTGGAATTTTTATACTTAGTTAATACTTCCCACCCCACAAACATTATTGTCTTTGAATATTATCTGTTTGGAGCAATAGCTAAGATTATACAAAAATGTGTTTGTAATGGAAGTGTTGCCGTTACCTCAGTCATTGCTTCATTGAGGCAGAAAACCCAAAGTAAAGAGGGTGGGGAGTGTGTGTGTGTGTGTGTGTGTGTGTGTGTGTGTTTTGCTATGATACACTGTCTATACATGGCATTGGCATCAGCATAAGTAACCTGAAGTCACAATTATAACACAGTCTAAATTAGAGAGATTCCAATGATTTTTCATCTGCCTCAGTGAGACTTGGTCTTTCTCTCAAGTTCCATAAGTATACAGTAGCCAAACCATTTGTCTGCCAAGGGAGAAGAATATGGATATTCCTTTGGAAAAGAAAGAGGAAGAGAAGGTGGACATTGGCACAAGAGAGAACTACTGACGACGGAAGTGGTACTGACTGAATACACAGCTGAGCTGTACATGTGCTACAGGCAGGGCCTCTGGCAGACACTCAGAGACATTGGTTGAGGACGAGGAAATAGCTTCATTTGGAAACAACAAAGTCTGGAATTCACATGGATTATTTTCAGACAGGTTCTTGGTATGAAAAAATGACCACAGGGAAGTTCTTGATGTGTGTCTGCCATTGTGAAGACAACTGGAAAAATTTAACACCGGTCCATTCAACGCCATCAACAACAACTGAAAAGAGAATTTAAAAAAGAAATTATTGAGAAACAACATTGGTTAATGTAAGTATATTTGTTCATGACATTGGTGCATAATTGCACACAGAACAGTATAAATTCGTTTTTAAAGCAGGTTTCATGTATAGTGCCCCCTGCATTGGAATATTTTGGCATTAATTTTAATCCCTCCAGAAAAATATTTACCTGTGTATAGTGTCATCAAAAATGCATAATTTTAAACATCTTTAAAAAAAAAAAAAAAAAAAAAAAGAAATAATAAAAAAACCTGTATAGTGCAACCCCCTATGTTTTTGTATAAAAAAACTGATCATAAAAACTCGCACTATATACAAGTATATACAGTAGTTAAAAAATTGCATTGAGAATCTTATACAGAGGGTGTATGTATGAAGATTAGCATATGCAGGCCAATTAAAAACAATTGATCTATAAATGTAGATATTCTATACATTAAACAAGTAACTGGTCTTTGAGAAAAAACTTTAGAGAAGAAAAATAAGAAAAGAAACTTACCTTTCAGCGTGTAATTGTGATTCTTGGAGGTACAAATAAGTCGGCTGATTCCTTCAATCACTTGGCTCTTGGATTCAGGGTCTTTGGATTTCTTGCCTATTCGCATAACTACAAGAAATTTTCAATATCAAAATGGCAGAATACATTAAAAAAAAAAAATCAGCAAAAGAAATAAAATTTCTCAATAATGGTCAGCATAATGTCCACAACAATTGCAGTGATAGTATGATAGATAAAGATATGCTTACTTTTTTGTTTCTTTTCTTTGGTCACAACTCCCATGCAGAATCCCGCAGACACTGGCGTTTCACTTGGTGTTGGTGGCAGACGGTACACATGTAATGAACGGAAGGCTGTCTTTAAGGAACACTTGCTAGATTCCTTTTTGTTAATGCGGTCTTTGTCCCCAGTTTCTGTTTTGGAGGTGAGTGTCCAGTACTCAACTTGCAACTCCATGTACTCAGACGATTGGGTGGTGGCTGTGAGAAAAGGGAGGGCAGCTGATGCTGGAACTGATTGTTGACTGAAATGCAAAGAAACAGACAAGAAAATCAAAGTGAAGATTCAACAAAGAAGCTCTAAATGAAAATTACAATGTAATACAAAATTAAAAGATATTCTGTTTAGTAACTATTATCAGTAAAACATTTGATTTCAAATGCAAAAAAAAATTATAAAAATGTTTTCAAATTAAAACAGCAATTTTACACTTGACTAATTTTCAAGTGTATTGAAAAATAAATTTGAAGCAAAGACTTTTTTTCCTTGGAGGATTTCTCTTTAAAGTTTCTGGTTAGAAATCAAATATTGACATAAGTATGAAGACATCTTGTTGTCATGACAACAGGAGACTCCACATTAATTTTTGAAAGGTTTCAGTGCAATAATTTCAGTAGTAAATAAATACGTTGTAATGAGATGTCTGACATATTTGTTTATTATTGAACTAATGTGAAAAAAAAACAAATAAAAATCTTTGATCAATACAAATTTTGAGAAAATGTCCCAGTTTTATGCATATCCAAGATTAAGTAATGAATATTTTCTAAAGTCAGGATCTACTTACCTCTGGCTAGGAGACATTAAACTAACATTTGGAGAATTAGGTGGTGTGTGTCCCTCTTTGGTCTTCTCAACTGGGCCTGCTTGTGAAGGTGGGGAACCTGACACGGTCGTAGTACATGGAGGGGATTCATCAATGTCCACTGGGAGGGAAAAAAATATAATAAAAGAAGCAGGGTAAAACTTTGCATTACATTTTATTACATACCATACCTATGAACACTAGTGGGTATGTTCCAATCTTCATAAATATGTTGGACACTATTGTAAGTGGGGGTAATATGCTGTCTAAGTAGTCCACCAAGAGCAGTGGTTTACCTGCTTCACAATGCTGGCTAGTATTGTATTTTGTTGATGTTATAAAGATTACCATTTCATTTCCAACCTCCATTTTGATTATTCTCCATTCAGCAACCCTTCCTAGTTTACAACACATTTGTATCAATACAGAGAGATTCTTCTCGATTTAAAGCTTTCATTTTTAGACATTTATTTTATTTAAAATCTGAATTTAATTTTCAGTAGAGTAGATGGCTTTCTGGAGCAATAAGAGAGTTGCCATCATTGGCAGATGCAATTACATATCAACAAAAAGAAACAAGATTATTTACCTGATGCATTCAAATAATCAGGGGAGCCAATCTTCACCTCCTGCAAGAAAAAAATATATATGTCAAGAGTAAGAAAGAAAGAAATAGTTTAGAAAATACTGGAAAGTACATTAGAAAGACGATCATGCAAATATTATGCAGTGAAATCAAATAATTACAGATTGGTAAAAATCACCTCATTTTGATAGTAAAAGTTTTGATATTATTAATTGTTCCAATGAGCTTTCCTATTTGGTACATTGACTTCATGAGTTGTAGTGTAGTACTAGATTGGCAGACAGGTCTTTTATAGTTGAAATTGCTGCATGTAACTAAGTTCGATGTTAATATTTTCTTCTCTTGTACTTCTCAGTTGTGAAACTCGTTTTCAGTGTCAAAAATTTAATTGCAATGTCAATCATCATCATCTTACTCCTTGAGTCCTGTTCTTTTTATTGTGCTTTCTCCTCAATAATATTTTCTCAGTTTCCTCTACTCTCACAAAACCCCTTGACCAGTTCCAGCTTTTTGTTTTCTTGTCAAAAGACAATGTCAACCATCATCTTTCATCTCTTTAAATCCTGTTCTTTTTATTGCCCCACCAATGTTTTTCTTAGAGTCTTTCACTCTCAGTAATTGCTTACATCTTAGTGGCTTTATCCCCTTATCAATATCTTATTGGGGTGTAATTATATATAAGCTTTCTTCTTTGGTAACTAAACTTTATGAATTTAGATTGGTGGCAAGTTGAAATGGCTAGATGCAACCCTAAGTTCTATGCTAATAGGTTAACAGTGTTGTTTCTCACACTTCTCACTTGTGGAACCCTGTTTCTGTCTATTGCTTTCCTATCAACTTTGATTCTCAAAATTTAAATGCAGTGGAAATTGTTATCTTCTGTCTTTTTAATTCATGTTGTCTTTTTAATAAGTTTTTCTTTTTCTCATTCTGTCACTCAGTAACCCCTCGTGTTAGTGGCTTTATTGCCTTGTATGGGGGTGAAATGATTAAAAAGGGTAATAAAAAAGTTAAATGTTTAAAATAAATCGTATTTTAAGTCCTTGAAGCAACCTGAAGACAAACGACACAATTAAACTGGGATGATCATCTACTAATGGCTAAGTAAATGATGTCAAGAAAACTAGAAGTGGTGGATGTATCTTGTGTATTACAACAGCTATATTTAAGCAATAAGAACCACATTGTAATGTTGCGGTTAACAAACTGGACTTGTCAATTAACAGGTAATGTGTTCAATCCACATTTGGTATCCCATACTTGTGGGCAAATGTAAATTATTCTTAGTAACTATCTTTTGGAAAATTAAAAAAAAAAATATAGACCACTAAAGAATTGTAAATGTATTAAAAGCTGTCAAGTGGTCTTTGAAACTGATAAAGAATAACAAATAGATTATTGTTGGAATTAAATTAAAAATGGTACAAAAAGAAACAATGTTTACTTACACTAATAAATGGAATAAATATCTGTGTTGATTCTTCATCTGTGCTGGAAAATAGAAAACAACAAACAAAATAGATTATCATCTAGAAGAAAAACATAAATGTCTAATAAGAAAAAATCAGATAATTTCAAAATGGCATTTATAGTCTACATATTTCAAAAATATACTGTTAACTTAAGCATTCAAACTAAAGTATGCCAGCATAAATGGTTGGAAGGTTATGTATTCATTTTTTTATGTTTACTATTACACTCATTTTTCTCAACAGATTCATGTAATGCAGTTTGGTTTACTTCTCTGCATATAATAACCAATTTGAAGAGCCTCAATAATTATATATCTTTGAATGTAAATTCAAATTTCAGTGGCTGAATGAAAGAAATAATCTTTGGATAATAGTAATTTGTAGATCTTCAGAGTAAGTTTTTATTTCTTATTCATCTGATTAAGCTATACTGACAAATGGCTTTGTAACAACTTTTGCGTTTTGTAATAACTTGAAAAAGCCAAATAAATTAGATCCCAAATTCTATAAATTAGATTATCACCCACCCATACATCATCAATATTTTCTAGATATAAATCCAACTGGAGAATAACTAAATCCGCATTTATAATAAATTAGTTTAATAACAATAAATGATTTTGTTGATTCACAGAACCCTAAATACAAAAGGACAAAGAGCTAACTTATTTTCAGAGGATAGTAAATTTCTACCAGAGAAAAAAAAAAAAAAAGAAAAGAAAAAGGGAGGTAATAAATAATAAACTGGTTCCTGAATTACAAATCCAGCATATAAATTGTCAGCATTGCTTAACCATTATTTAAAAAATAAAATATAATGAATGAATGAAAACCATTCACTGGTTTCTATCTACAACTCTGAAGTTTTTCATGTTAATATCATTCAGTAAATATGCACTTATTTGAATGCCAAAGGTCATTGAGGTCACACTTGGCTGAAAATGATCTGAGAACATTAGACTGTCCTGTACATAAAGTGTAACAATCCAAATAAATTGATGTTGAAAACTGAAAATTCTTCTCCAAATGAATAAGAATAAATTTAATAGCAAAGAATCCCTTTTATTGTTAAACATTATTTAATCAGTTTTATTGCCCTGATATATCTAAAGCATAAAAGCCTGTTACCAAATCAGTTTTTAAAAGAGGAGGAAAAAAAGTACAATCTCTTTGAGTCATTTCCAGATTACACATATGACAGATTGAAGACATTACTACTTATTAGATAAAGAGACAAATTGCAAGAAAATGAACAAAACATATCAATACAAAATCTGAATGAAAACATGGACATGAAATCAGCAAAAATATGAATTTAGCAAGAGCTACATAAATTAAACAGTAATGATTTAAAAGAAAAAAATCATTTTGAAGAAGGCAAAAAATATATTAGCAATCTAAGGTGATTTTTTTTTCATTTTAAGAAAATATCAATTTTGGGTGATACCAACCTAGGTTGCAATATTTGAAAAAAAAAAAAAAAAAAAAAAAAAATCAATTGTTGGGTTTATTTTCTTTTGCAAACTTAACCTGCAAAGACTGAAAACATTTTCTGAAATAAATTTCAGTTTGGTTTCAATTTAACTTTCAGTATAAACTGATTCATTTTACTGTTCAATTTCAAGACTTTATGCCTTATCTTATAATGTGAACCCATTATGGCAAGAACTAATTGACACTTTTCTTTCCTTGTTAGATATTTTGGTAGCTGGTAAAAATAGTTTAATAACTACCAAAATAATTGGCTATGAATCACTTTGATATTTTCTTTTTTTTCAAACTAAAATACAAAAATTAACACTAACAAAAAATTAATTTTGTTTTCATAATGAAATCTTTTTTTAAAGAAAATAGTTTTAATTATTGCAAAAATATCTCCATTATGCAAACAGATTTAAAAAGCAATAATAAAACAAGCATGTCAGATAAACTGTAAATATTTTCAAACTGTCTAGAATAATTCTCATTTATTCAGAGCCAATTAAACATGAGCAGAAACATTTTGTATTGTATTTTCTGATAATTAGATTGTTTTAGAAAAAGTCCTTTTAGTTGTATAGTGGATTACAATTCAAATGTTGACAATACAGTAGGACTAATGTTTATTATTATTGGTCACTGATAACTAAATCGCTTCAGATGAAAATTGACTACTTTAAATAAGATTGTGACATGTTAATAAAGTAAATCCCAAGCAGCTAGGAAGAAGAAAAACAACTCAAATCCCAAGCCATTCAGTTATTACCTTATTTATTTTGCAGATTTCATGCTAATACAATTTTATGTGGAGCGGAGTGAGGGGTACAGACATGGAACATTGACGGGGATCATTTATGAAGGAATAAAATTACTTGGTAGATTGAAGGGATCAACACACCCAGTAGCAATCATGGAAATGAAAAATATATTATAGAAAAAGTTGCTGCTCCAATGATAGGAAGATGATGACCTCCATTCTCTTAATTAATTCTGGATGATTGTCTTCAATTACATTATTGGGAATAGGACTTGTTTCAACTGTTTCATTATCTAGAAGGAACTCACAGTAAAAGACTTCCATACATTCCCACTATAGAATCACCTGCTTGCGGTGGTCTTTGACCTGAGAAGCATTTTACATGTTCGATAAATCTCTTGCATTCCACCTTGTGACAATGTATTCACTTTACATTACCTATCAAATGGAACATTTTTAGGTGAAAATAAGAGAAACTATATAAGTATGCTTCAATAGGTTTGATTTGGCTTATGTGGAAACCACACATTAAAGTGACTAACATAAGTGGTACAAATGATTTTTATTCCTTGATTTGGATATTCTGAGATTTTCTGTTTATCTCTTGAGTTGTACAGTGTTGATTATTATTCTTTATTTGATCATAATCAGACTCAGCTAGTCAACCTGGTTAAGAAATACTGAAACTTCTAAAACTACTTTTGACATTTTGATCATTCATCATATCATCTTCATACATTGTGCAATAATTCTTGTGGCATTTTTAAACATTTTACCTTTCTTAAAAAGTATACAGTATCTTCAATGTTAGAAGCAATATGCAAAAAGAGATCAATTCTGACAATTAAAAAAGAAAAAAAAAAAGAACATTATAATGTGACAATCAAAAGCAATTAATATTGAATGAAGTTAGATAAAACTAAATGCTTCCAATAAAATTTAACATCAGAGCTTGAACATTTTTGTCCAACTCAATATAATTTGGCTTGTTAATGTATGAGCAGTACAAATAGTAAAGCTCCAGAAAAATAATTATTTTATCACTCTTGGATTGAGAAAGCTAACACGAGTCAGTCTGAATAGGCATAATACTTTTCAATACAAAAAAAAAAAAACTTTCAATCATGACTGAATTTGGTTTAGAGAATTTTTATGGAAGAAGGTGAGGATATTTTATTAGTGTGACAGTTGTTTTTTTTCTTTTCTTTTTTTTTCAGTACATAAAATAGACTTTTTTTCAGATGTATCAAAACAATAATACTTACTTGACAATGAATTGAAAATTAAAATTTATAAATATTTAATTAGAAAGATTTTTCTTTGAATTTTTTCCAAAAAAATCTGTGTGATTGTGCATGAGTGTGTGTACATAAAATATAACAAACATATGATGATGATGAGATTTCAATCAAACTCAAAACACTATTTCTTAGTTTATTGAAAAAAAAAATCCATGATTTTTTGTTTTTAACTAATTTTTGAAGTGATGCAAAACTACAAGTTATATCTAAGCATAAAATTACTATACATGCTTGCAATTCATCATCTCTAAAATGATATTTTGAGACAGAATAAGGAATAATTTATTGGCCAATGTTTTAAAACATGTAGGTTTAAGTACATTTCCATCATTGAGGAGGAGTGAAAGAGATAAAATTAGATGCAGATAAAAGGGATTAAAAATAATAAAGTATGTAAAATTTTGTTGATTAATGTGAACAAATTGAAAGAGATTCAACAAAAGGAAATGAAGCTAATAATTTTATAAAAGTAGACATGATTGACAAAGAGACTAAAAAAAGGAGATGAATTAATTGAAGAGAAAGAAATAGTGGTGGGATCAAAATAATTGATCATTTACGTACTTGTAGAGTAAAAGACAAAAATTAAAACTTGGTAAAAATTGCCATGAAATCCTGATTAAGCTTTATCACTCTGTATGTGACTTCATTTGCAGTACAAAATGTTTATCCTGTCACTGATGGTAACTGATCTCTGAAGAATAGAGTGTTTGAATTTTATAGTTGTGTTGTCATATCCTGCTATGGCAACAGAAAATAACCAAGTGAAATTAACAATAAGGATACTGCAATTGAGATGCCTTGAAAAAGAATGTAGTGGGAAGTAATATTAATAATGCAGAGTGTTAAAGGTTAAAGTTCTGAACATTTCAGTTATTAATGAAAGTTCTTCACTAATTAAATAATATTTGATTAATTTATCAGTTTGAGATCATGAAATTAGTTTTGTTTATGCAGAATCAAAAATCATCTATAATAATAATAGTTTATAGTTTAAAATTTAGAAAAATAGAAAATTTTAAATCAAAGTGGTAAAAATATTAGTTTTAATAATAATTTTAGTTATAATTTCAAATTTTTAATGAATCACTTAGAATGGTTGATTAAAATATCTATATCCTTATGAAAAAAAACCTCTTCTATGTTATAAAAATTATCAGATTGATATGGCTGAATTGTAAGAAAAATAGGAATCGTAATCAGTTTTCAACACTGCTAAATGTTTCTGTCACATCTTCCATGAATGAAGGTAGAAGCAAAAGAAATAAATTGGGGGTGGCAATAGTATGTATTCTGCAGTAAATATCCTCAAACTTGAATTGACTTGGAAGCTTATTATGATAGGCACCTTTGTTGGACAACTTTAAATAATTTATAGTTTATGCTAATTTACACAGAATAATAATAAAAATTACTCTAGGTTTTTAGAGATTTCAAGTATTTACATTAATAAAAATATTTTCATCTCAGTTACAACATAGC